TTTTGAAATGAAACCATTTCTTACTTTAGCATCTTTTTAAATTGCTATTTACAAAGATTTGATAATGTGTTCGAAGTATACCTTTAGACAGTGTATATTTCGCATTGAACATTTTAATAAATATCGAGGAGAAATGTTACATCTAGTTCATATATTTTATAAATTCAATGCTCTTTATATGAACATAAGATATGATGATCACTGATTTCAGAAGAATTATGTTTATATCTCTGAACCAGTGTGTGTATCAATAAAAGAATTTGCTATAAAATTGTTTATAACAATGAATATTAATATTAAATTTATTTTACATTAGCCTATTGTGCTCTATACACAAAGGTTCAAAAGAAGTGATACGTCATAAGCGAATAGTTTTTGGGGGATAAGTTCATAAAATTTTAACAAGAGTTTGATTATAGCACAAGTATAGATTAGGAGCAATTACTGCTCTGGCTTTATCTGTATAGCTGAGGGTAGATACATGTAATGGTATCCCTACAAGCATTATACATACAAAGAGATGATAAACTGTGTGAGATACTTACATTGGTCAGAGATAGACTCAACTTGAATAATCTTTCTCCTTTAGATGTACAAATCCTAAATTTGTTAGGGGCCATGTAAACCTACCAGATACAAGGAAAGGGAAATTCTCTAAAAATAATAACAACATTTATATTTATAATACTGGTAATATTTCTTATGGGTTTGATTTGTGTTCAAATGCCAAAAGTATTTGCGAAGATTGATAAACAGTATTTTGTAGTCTTAACTTTCCATTACTGGATCTTGTTTTACGTTTCAATAATATCCATAAATCTGTAATTATTCGAAAATCAATTTCAATTCTTATTTAGTATAATTCTTATTTGCCATACAGTTGGTATCACGATGAAAAAAATGACAATTTAAACGTTACTTATTAATTTCTAATCCGTCTTAAATATTTCCTGAAGTAGTAAGACTGGAATAAAATATTGTCCTTATTCAATTACAGTACAGGCTATAACTGAACTCGCGAGGCACTTTTTGAAATTTGGAATACGTTCAGTAAATTTTTGTAGATCTTATTCTTCAAAAAAATACATATAAAAATCGGCCGTTCGAAACTTCTAAGTTGGAATACTCTTTAAGGTTTTAAACAATTCTAATATATTATTTATTTAGTTAAGTGCGCGTAGTTCCTCGAGAAGTGTGTATTTTGGTTTTCAACTGCAAAATGGACCTTTCTTTTTGTTTCGCACGTTGCAATTTAAAAAATATGTCTGCAAAATAATTTTTCACATTACAAAACTTCGAAATCGCAGGAATGGCTGTTTTCGATCGATCGGCATTTTGCAAAGTATTTATTAAAATTTACGATCGTAGAAAAAAATAATAGTGTCTCTCGTAAGAATTAAAGGCAACGTTTGGTCCATTTTTTGCTGACACTAGGAATGCTGTCAGCCTTGAGGCGAGTCAGCAAGGATGTTCAAACGACGTTACAAGCTGTTTATGTCTTTGAAATGCTGCAAATATTTTGAAAGATGATACGAAAACGTAATGAAAAACGCCGACGGTGTAGCTTCTTTTGTTGTCCAGAAATAAAGTCTTCAAATAAGATTGCGAGCTCGGTTGGCTAAACCAAAATACTTCTTCAATATTGGAAAATATGAAGTATAAATTTATGAAGTATAAATGAGCGATTTTTCAAATGTAATCGATAACACCGTACAAGTTCAAAATTCGTTCACCTACAACCTTTAGCTCGTTACACATGGAAATAACGAACAACGAAATAATTGTAATTTATGTGCTTATTCACCAATTCAAATCTTTCTCTCCGAATTTATGAAGTATCATTGTTCATTGTGTACGCGGAATTCTTATAGTTAGCATACAGTCTCGCTCTGTTCTTTATATCGCATAATTTCGGAGAATCTTATTATACCGGGTGTAATTTTCTCTTTTCTCAACGAGCTTTTGCCACCGTCTTACCAAGAAGTCGATGTCTCGTTCAAAAAATTCGGCGAATTTTAAATTAAGAAACCCATTGATGATTGTAGCGATTGTTGCCTCGTCATCGTTGAGTAACTTCCGCGTAAAAGATTGCTTATGCTCGTACGCAATTAAAATTAGTTACTCGTGCGAAATACAAAGGATGCGGTTAAAATTTTTTAAAATAAACTCCGTGTGTCGCGAAAACCACGTCCGCGAAAAACTTTAAATATATCACGGGAAGTTTCACCACATCCCTCGTATTATCTTAACATACTTCTTTCAAAGTTCATATCAAACTTTCCAATGCAAAATATCTCGAATTTACCAATCGCAATGAAGTTTATCCAAAGTACGCGAAGACTTTCCAGATGCCTTGATAAATAACAGAAACGATAAACGGCAACTTGATACCGCAGTTAATTCGAAGCTATTGTTGTTGTTACCGCATATACACAATTTCAATTATTCGATAAATTGTTTTAATAAAAATTATTATAATTTTATGTATATACTTTCGACGAAATTTATTTTCGTAGTATCGCAATGAAATCTTAAATTTTGTTGGCTACACTCGATCTAAGTGTACGAATATTGATTTTTAAATGTGTGCGTAAACAGTTTCAGCAACACTTACGAAGTACCGTAATTGTCTCCCTAACTGACGCTAAGATTGTCCACTAAAATGGATTATTTGGGAAGAGGAGATACGATTATTCGAGCCTTGTGGCTCGTTTTTATGGTTATCGATTGTTAACAACTATAAAAACGAGTAGCTCCTCTTCCCAAATTGTCCATTTTTCTGCACAATGGAAGCGTCAATTAGAGAGACATTACTGCAAGTGCTCGTACACCATCGCATCGAGTGTCAGCCACGTGGCTGGACGTAGAGTGATATTGGGTCCTAATCTGTGCATACACGAATCATCGATATAACTGTATCGATTTGTAT